TTATCTCACTTTTAGGTGGATTAATCACCAAACCGTCTACATCAAAAGAAGCGAATTAACATATGCAAAAACGTCTTTGAAAAAACTATACTCCTAAAATCAATGTTTGAGAAGCTATTAAAAAAGCGCACGAAAACGGCAAAAAGCAACACTGTGCAGTGGAACCGAGCAAGAAGACACAGACAGCAACACACCTCAATAGTTCTGGATCGAATTCTAAATCAGCCATAATAAAAAAAACGCATTTGTGAGGCACTCGGAGCATCATCACCGCCCACTGCCTGATGTTTGATTTTCGATTTAATTTTTGAATTCTATAAACTATCTTCTTTCTACTTAGTTTATGCACAGCCCCTAAGTACATTTGCCAAATATAGTTGCAAATCTTTCCTATTACCTAAGTTACCCAAAGTCTTTGGATTTCCCGTATGAAGAGATAGATACCTTCTTTACAACAGATAGCAAATGGCATCACACATTTCACCATGCCTTACATATGTAGATTAGTTAATTCCAAAAGAGTTGTATAGTTGTAGAAGAAGTGTGGACCAAACTCAATGGACTTAATTGGAAAAATTCCAGAGAACTTACAAATCATTCCCACATGACTGGGAGGTATCATGTCTACGTAATAGACCATTTTTGGGGGCTGTCTCATTTCGCCGAAGGTAATTTTTCCGAAAGGGTCGTTTCGCCGAAAAAAAATCAGCCGTAGTTTAAATTATGAACTCTTTAATGTATGGAATATATACGAAACATAAATTAACAACAACTTGGAAACGAATAAATAATCAAGCGTGGTAAGCTATGCGAATAACCAACACATTTCAACAGAAATCTGACTATATGCTAAAGTTGAAAGTTTTTAAACTTTTCAGTATTGTAAATCTATCAGATTTCATATAGCATTTATCAGACACATTTTCAATCATAGTGTTTTCTTTGGAGTTTCTAATAGCGCAAATTGAATATGTCATATTGGTTCAGTGTTCAAGTCGCAATTCGTCGTCGACTGGAATCCGGACTTAAGCAAACAAATTAGGTTTTGCACCGTCAGGGTTAACCTCAATCGGATGACAGTTCAGTGGTACTGTTTACGTGGACCTAGTCGATTGTTTCTTGAGTAGATTTTCTCGATAATTTTTCAGACTGCAGTGGAATGTAAACCACACTTCTGCAATGTCCACGAGCAACAACCTTTTCCCGAGCATTTCCTCGACAGTTAGGAATTTTTTTTTTCGAAAATGCGGCTTTGTGCTTGTAAATAGTACCACTGAACTGTCAAAAAGGTTCAGCCGATTAACATTGAGTTTATTCGTGACGTCACGCTGCAGAATCCCTAATACACAACGTATGGGTAGCACCATTATACGAATCAGGGTTTTTTTTCGAGGCCATGAACATTTGGAATAGGAGAAATGCTCCTATATTTTTTTTTCCCTTTGGTTTGTTTTCCGTCGATCTTGTTTTCCGTGCTGAGCACCAATGCTACCGACGCCAGTGAGGCAGCTCCCACACCTGGACCCTACCTATCGACCCATCAACTCATGAGCCGGGGACCAACGGCTTTACTTCCCTTCCGAAGGAAGGCGTGATCAGAGATGTTATGCCTCAGAACATCCCGGCGGCGCCGACTGGGATTGAACCCAGGCCTGCTGGGGTGAGAGGCAATCACGCTTACCACTACACCACCGGCGCCGCTAATGCTCCTATATTGGCCATGCTCTTATTTTGGCCATGTTTTGAAATAGGTTTGAGGTCTTGAGTTCTGTTAAGATTGTTGATTCAAATCATATTCATCGGGGGTACACATACATATCGCCACAAAACGCACAAAGATTGTGATTCAATCTGAGATATGGATAAAATAGGAACCTATGGCCAATACTGGTAAACTTACCCTATGGTCGGTTTGAAAAATTAGATGTTAACTTTTTTCCTATCAATTTCATTGGCACTTTAATATAAATACAGTGAACTCTCTACACTCAAAATAATCTTAACGTCAATGCCACGTGAAAACATTCCTAGATTTCCATTATACTTTTCACCTAAGTGTTATGTGATTCTTATATGAACGCACTCATTTTAGTGAGCGAGATGGTCATGGGATTATCAGAGTAGATGTTACGTGATGTTTTCAATGGTGTTCATGGTAGTTTTCAATTATTCTAATTCCTGTTGAAATAAAATGTATTCTTGATTTCAAATAAAAAAAAAAGATCCTACATTATTCATTGATACCATTGTATCTCTACTGTGGCAAATATACACTTGTTAAAATGAATTCGAGCGGAACAGGACTCGGGAAGGATACGGTAAACATATTATGCAAGGGCGTTCGACTCGTATTATATAATACTCCTTTTTGTCAGACTACAACAAAGAAGTAGGTTTCAAATTATTCTCACCATAAAATGTTCAACCAATATACTTACAACACGAAATTGTCTCAAAAAAACATGCACATTGCAACGCCACCATATTGTGTACCATTATGAGAGAGTTACCCATTTATTTTGACGTAGGACTACGTCTGTGATTTCTATATAGGGGTACACTAGACTGATGCAAAATTTAAAATTTTCACTCCACAGTGCTCAAACGGTTCCAAATTGGGCCCTGATTAGCCTCCCAAAATTTGAACTCAATTAGTGAGAAACTGACTTGGCACAAACCATTTGAAGTTTATATGGGAATTACTATGGAGAAATCAGAATTTCGGTTCACATCTATCTCAAAATTCACCAGTTCACTCTACTTTAAAAAATGATAACTGCGCTTGTTATAAATTTTCTCAGCTACAATTTTTTTCTAGACCACTTTTCGATCAAATGTAAGGAACAAAAATTATTAATGATTCAAGTCACTGATGTCTTATGATTATGCTCAATCAACTGTTTAGCAGGCAACATTGGTGTTTATGGCGCGTAGAATAGAGGACAAAAATCATGGCTACTATGTCACACTGCAGAATACAGTGTTGCCCACAATACAGTTGCTTAATCTTGCCATAAGTTTATCAATCTGTTAAACATTTAATAACTATTTAATTTGACGTTTGGCTGAAACACGCTTTTCTGCAAAGTTGTAGCTGATAAAAATTCCCATATGAATAGCAATAGAATTTGTGAACAATACAATATGTAAAAAGGCTAGAAAACAATGAACAAAAAGTTTTGTTTTCCCATAGTAATGTCCATACAAACTTCAAATGGTTTGTGCCAAGTCAGTTTCTTATCAAACGAGTTTAAACATTCGGAGGCTAATCAGGACCCGATTTGAAACCGTTTGAACACTGTGGAGTGAAAATTTCAAATTTTGCATCAGTCCACTGATCTTGTATTACATTTTTATTTTTGACGTAGGACTACGTCTGTGATTTCTATATGGCGGTACACTTTGTGAAAACCAAACATGGAACATGTAACAAAATTATGAAAGATTTTGAACGTTAATAACTCAGCTGCCCCTGGACCAATTTCAATAATTTTATCACCAATCCATCAGAAATATTTCTGTGCATATGTTAAATTTAAGCCATTTTTTACATTTTTTACATTCAACAGCATTCCGCAAAATGATGTATAAAACTTTTGTAGGTTTTGTTATTAGCTACAACTTTCGTTAACAATTCAAATCCGTATCTCTTATGCATGACGAACCAGAGCGAACAGAAACCACTACTGTTTTTCGGTGAATGTATTTTACATTCACTGAAAAACAGTACCAAATTCTGCCCGCTATAGTTCGTGATGCATTAGAGATACAGATTTGAGTTATGAACAAAAGTTGTAGCTAATAACATAGCCTACAAAAGCTCTATACATTATTTTGCGAAATGCTGTTGATGAAAAAAGTTAGCGGCAAATGAATGTAAATGAATGTATGAAATGAATGCATATGATTGTCCATGCCTGCTCATGAGCATCCATAGGAGGAAGAAGCCGCACCGCTATTGATCGGAATCAGTAGCTCTTCGTGAGTTGCTGTGGGCAATCTATGTCAAGCGCGTCATACTAAAGAATTTAACCAGAGAGAACCCCGCTCAAATTCCTATTCCTACACAAACCACAAGCTTGCTGCAGTTAACAAATAAGATTTATTATATAAGACCACGTAGTCTTATGTCACCATTGCGTACAACCCCATAGGACTGTCCCTTGTAGTTTTTGATTTGTGAAAATCACTTAAGGTTTACGTGAAATGCACATAGAATTTGTGTATGAGCAAACCATGTACATTTCATTGAAAAACCTAGTGGCTTTAAAGGAACTTCCCAATGATATCACGTAGAATCTACTTGTGTCACATAAATTTGATATAAAAGTGAAAAGAGAGACTTCACCTCATTTTTCACGTAACAATAACGTGTCGATTATTTCGAGTGTACAACTCGATATTGAAGAGGCCATCGAGTTATAGAACAACAATCACATACAAAATCGCTATCACAGAAGCAATGAAATTTATGGTTCTATAAATCGTTATCGAGCTACTGGACATCGAGTTGTGGAGAGTTGATGTATATTTACCACAGACAAACAGACATTACTCTCACAACAGTTTTTCATCCAACGGTAAATGTAAATGTTTCTTAGTTAGTGCTATCACCATCCATGGCGTGCATAGTAGTGATTTAGCGATGATACGATGTAGTGAGAAATGTTAAATGTTTTATGTCTGTTTGTCTGTGCATATACGTTTCTTTGTAAGAAGGGTAAAAATGCAGAGTATGTAAGAAATCCACTTTTGCATGTGTTGTTCATGCATGCCATTTTGTATGTGTACAACATCTAAAAAAGTCGTGTCCCTAAAATGAATGTCAAAACTAAACATTAGGAAAACTACTTCTGTGATCAACGAGATCATCACCAGTGGTCGCATGAAGCGCCATTAATGACAGCACAATTTAATGTCTGGCTGTCTGCTATTGAATACAACGTCAAACCGTCGTTATCAGTATTTGACGAGTCGAGCCAATTATTCCGTGTAACTGTGCTCATCGGGAGCGTGAGGAAGTCGGTGAATAACATTATTCTCTGCAGTGCAGTATTGGTACGGATTTACGTTCTAATGGTGGCTGAATCACGGACATCTGTCGCACTGGCTTTGTTTACATCATTCAGCCGATTAGTGAAGGTCATGCTTGGCATACATAGTTTTGGTCACAAACTGCTCGCTTGCTTATAACTTTCAACACAGTTGACGAAACATAGTTTTTTTAAGTGGTAGATAGAATATAGTTTAAGCTTGTTATAGATACGTAGAAAAAGAAGATTTAAGTTTTAGTAATAAACTGAATTTGTTTTTGGGTTGTAAAAATGAAGTGAGAAATGCTCGGTGCACATCTCGGAATTTAAGCGTAAAAATGCATTGGTGTTGATTCAAATGTTATGATTTACCTACTCTTTGCATATGTATAGTAAGCTATGATTCTAATCTAACAATTACTTTAAAGAAAAACAAATTTCAACAACTGAGTGAAAAGTTTTTAACAAATGAGCAGTTGGTGTGTACAACTGTGCATGCCAAGCATGGTGAAGGTCATACTCGTCGCAAATACCGCCATATGAATGACGGCTCAGCAGTTGTAAATTTGACACGAGACCGTCCTGATCGTATGTGGCAGTGGTGATCATGGTAGTGAAGCTGTTGTGAGTTGTTTTCTGAATTAAGTTTTAGTTATTTGCTCCGATTAATGTCTCTTAATTTTCCATAGATGGATTGCTGTATTGTTAGCCACAGATGTGCTCTCTATTGTCGATTTCCCCTGTAAAAATGATATTAAATACCATAATCTAGGAATCTGCATAATCGAAAAATTCCACTACGATGATCTCGCCAACCTGACTGAAGATAGTTTCCCAAATGCAACTAATCTGGAGTTCTGGGACACTTACTTGCCATACTTTGGAGTGCACGTGTTCGAGATGCTACCGGCTGATATACAACAGTTGACATTTCGTGATGGCTTCATACGGGAAATCTATCTCCAGTCGTCGTCGTCGATCGAAAGGCTACGAATATTGAATACGGACCTGGTCACACTAGACACAGTGTCGGAGCCCAACTACAGTTTGAAACAATTATCTGTCCGATCACCGGTGTATTCCGCGTGGTCTCAGGGTCTTCTCTATATGAAAGCACTGGAAGTGATTGATGTGGCTTACTGCAACTTCAGCTATCTGAGCTTGGATTGGTTCGAAGGATACGAAAACTTGCGAGTATTGGATGTTTCGAAAAATAGGTTGCAAACGATCCATAGTCGACCGGGATTGGTCATGAGCACGCTAGAGGAGCTTTACCTCTGGGGTAATCGATTGGAGTTTGTGTGGCGATTTCCGGATGCTTTTCCAATTGTTTCGATAGTGAATTTATCGGAAAATCTGTGGAGCTGCACCTGGGTGACGCTAGCCCGCGATGCGATCCGAGATCAGGGAATTGTGGTGATCGATTCGGATTACTCATGCAAGGTTGGATGGGTTAACAATGGTGGGCTATGTTGTCGGTTGCATGAAGATGTGAATCCAGTTCCAGGTAGAGCAAACGACGACATTAGCAGCCCATCGTCTTGGGTAGTGTTGGCAGATTACATTCTAGATGATGCAAACGATACTGTGATTGGGATGCGTGTGGGTAATTCGGTTGTTTACCTTGCTAAGCCACTTTCCTAATGAATTGCTCGGTGTGAATTGGGAAACATTTGTGCATTTTCCGTAGTTTATTAGGTTATTTAAGATTTTTTTTATCATTGTGATTTATAGGGAGTTGTACATCTAGACGATCATTAATAAACACTGGTTGTTATTTTACTTTGCTTCCATCGCCTGAAGAAATCGATATCGATAGGTACCCCTGAGAATCAGGGCTGAATGGAATAGAATTGAATTGAATTTACCTGGAATTCCATAGAATATCCTCTGCATTTTTGGTAAATTTTACCTGAGATAATCCTCTGGAATCCCATTCTGTTTAAAAGCTCAGCTTCTTGTGTTTCTGGTAAAAATCGCTTTGTATCGTTTCATAGGGATTGTTGATAATTTAGGAAAAAAATAAATAGAGAACCGTTCAGGTTAGTTTAATACAATTTTCTTCAAGTCGATCTAACACGACCTTGGACCGACTCTAAATTCTTTTTAATTAATAGTTTTCTATGTCAACCATTGCATTGCATGAATTTGTACATTTTGTGGCATGCACGTTTGTAATTTCCAGAAGGGAATATCACTAATGGAATTATGGCAGTTGCTGTTGCCGAATGATCTGAGACGTAAAAAGGAATTAGTGATTCAGCGCTGCATTCAGAATTAGATTATAGGGTAGCTAAGTCATGATCGTTTGAAGCGGATGCCTCCTTAGAAAACCGTTATCAGCACCTACAGATTACAAAACACATCGATCGTTTCATCGAATCAAACGTAAACAGAAGGAGTTGCACTTTGCAATCTACAGTACACTGCCAGTCATAGTTAATATTTTTATGAGTGAAGTGCAGTCGGTTGGTTCGGCGCATTAAAATGAATAATCTCCTATCGATTGGGTACATCTTCCCAATCACTTTACGGCATAACGGCTCATCACGTGCTTTATTTTCTAGTATCATCATACTGATCCACGTGACAGCCAGCTTTGCCAAATTGTACCCATGCGATCGAAAGCAAACACTATCCTCCTGTTACATCGAGAACATCACCATCGGCTCCAACGAGAACCATGGATCCGTTCGATTCGAGGAAGTTCGCCGGCTGATAATAGAATTCGGTACCATTCCAACATTTTCGCAAGATCTATTTGCAAACCTAGCAGAGGCCGAATCCCTTTCCCTCAAGGGCGGACACATCGTCTCGGTTGACTTCAATTCGGACACACTCAGCTCCCTGCGGATTGACAAAACTGGGCTGCAAAACCTGAGCATAGCCCCAGTACCGAATTACAATTTGGACACGCTGCTCATAAATCGCAACCTTCTGACGGCGCTCCCGAAAACGATTCGCTACCTGTTTGCTCTTTCGATCCTGGACCTATCGCAAAACCGTATCGAGTACGTCAATCTGAACTGGTTCCAACAGATGGACAACCTGCTGATCCTGGACCTCTCGTGGAACCATATCGCACGGATGGACGCCACTTCCGACCTACGCCTGGCGAAATTGAAAAACTTGTTTGTCAACTTCAATCACCTGTCGCAAATTCCTTGGTTCCCAATCGGCTTTCCCACGTTGGGACGGATTCGCCTGGCCGACAACTACTGGAATTGCGCGTGGGTGGCGTCCATGAGACCGCAGATTTGGGATCGCCACATTCAGCTCTTCGATTCGGATGGGGCTTGCAGTGAGAAAAGTGAGGGTGGGCTGTGCTGCTACGATCAGATTCCGGTGGAGCTTCCGGCAAGATATGAGCTGATTGAGATTGAATTTCAACAGCAACCGAACGGGCTGGCGTTCGAAAAGATTTCCGAGCGTCCACAGATGTTGATGGCAGAACCGGAAACGGAGAAATCAGAAGGAACTTGTGCAGAAAGGGAGGAGAAGGTTCGAACGTTGCAGAAGGAGAAGCTGGCGTTGATGAAGGAGAAGGTAGAAATTGAGCAGCAGTTTGCGAAGAAGGCAACTTCATTGCAGGAGATTTTGCGAACCGTGCGGGAGGATTTAGAGGCGTCGGAAAAGGAGTTGTCGCGATATAGGTACCAAGAGAGGTTGGATTTGATCAGGAAGACAAGTGGGCTGAAAACGGAGAAGAGATCGAGCCCGGTTGTTGGAGTGCGATAAACTAAATGTAATTATAATGGGTCATTCTGCACCAAGTGTCCGAGGCAAGCGAAATTGACCCCTTCCGATTTTGAGGATTTATTTATTTCAGACCATCTTTATAAAAATCCAATGTTTTGAGCCGATCGGAGCACCCGTCGATCTAGGGGAGCATTCTCTATATTTTTTTTGAGGATTTATAAGAAAGCACAATTTTCTTTTATTAATACCTCCAGAGTGAAGCTACTGATTGCAACAAGTACTGATTTCTAAAGAAAAAAGGAAACTATATCGGAAATTATTATTTATGTGTAGTGTTGCCAAGTATTTTTAGATTGCTAGAACGCCCTATGCCTAAATATTTAAGAAGAATTCAAAAAATTTCCCAACAATACTAGATTCCTAAATTGAAATATAAATCTATTTTTTGTCGAAATTTTGAGATTCCAAACTCCGGGCATACTGGAATTGCATGATCAGAGATAGAGATCGATAAAACTTTACATTTACAATTGCGATGTTCCAACAGATTCTGAAGATTGTAAAATTTGCAAAATAACTAAAATAGTACATTTGGAATTGTTGAACCATTCAAATATGAGTTATTCTTTTTAAACATGTTATGGTCTTTTTTAATCATATGCCATTGTTGGTCTGTTTAATTAAATATTTATCCACATGGTATTACCTCGGTATTGTTCAAGCTGCTGGAGTGGGAATGGAAGTCTCTGTTAACCCGTAAAGTTCCAGGACGAACGAATTTTTTTCAACAAACTCGTTCTTAGCAATGCCTTATCCGATTTTCTTAAACTTGGATTTTTATTCAAAGAGCATAGTTGAACTAACTTTTGCCGTAGGGACCAATCCCTAAGAACCTTCCTCGTTTTTGGGAGATGTAAATATGTCTGTGTTTTTTTTGTTTGTATTTTTTTAACCAGTTTGACCAAATGAAATACACGTCTGGTGCAGCAAATGATATCAGATAGATGAAATATGATTAGTAAGACTGAATGTAGATATTTCCATAACGTATGGCTACGATATTATCGGTTTCGGAAATTCCGGTCCCGGAAATCGGTTTTGTAGGACATAGTAATATCTCGGGCAAAAGTATCTTGTGGGATGTCAAATCATGTCAAATAGGTAGAATCAAGTGAATGAAGATGAATTGAAATGATTTTGGCCAGTTTTGCATCGGTTCCGCAACGCGGATCTGTGAATTCCGGTGAACGGTTTGTTGGAATATAATTGCATTGAGGTTATGATATCATATTATGCCAAAATGACAAGCTATGATCGACAAAATCAGGTTGTAGTGTATCTGATGACATATGGGCATCGGTTCCGGGAAATCCTTGGAATTCGGTTTTATACCCAACAGTAACATTCGCAGTATAATAATCATGTTGCATAGTAAATCATGTTAGTCTGATAAGATAAGGTCAATCTTTTATTTGTGGTGATAACTTTGGCATATGGTCACATTTGCATCGGTTCCGGGATTCCGGAATTCCATTTCATAGATTCCGCAATACGATACGGTAAGGTATGATCATATCGATGAAAACCATATCATGTGGTGGTATGAATAATGAAAACAGTTTGAGATGAATCCTGTGACTCATGGTCACATTGACATCGGTTCCTGTGATCCTGATCCCAGTTCTTTAGGCCATAGTCATATTTTAGGCAATGAATCATACTACATATCAAATCATAGGATATGGCCATGAACGATAATTTCAGATAATTTCATTGTCATTGCAGACACATTGACATCTGTTCCAATGCTCCAGTATCTGGTTCCGTAAATTCTGGATTATGACTAGGAATGATTTATTCGAAGCTACTATATCGCGTGGTACGTAAAATCGGTAACAATTTTTTAAAATCTTTGTCACTTTCCAGAATGGCTTAGCACAATCTGGGAGAGAGCGAATCTTGTTTGCAAAATCGATATTTCTGAGATCCATCATCCTGGCTTGGATGATTTTGTTCAAACGGTTGCAATTGGTCTTCAGGTTAGGCAGCCCAGTACGCTGGTACTGCCTACGAATCGTGTTGCGGAGTCTAATGAGGTCTTTAGTGGGCCTGTCAAGGTTCAGAGTATTTCTCACCTGCCTGGATACTGGAACATGTTGCTCCCTGGCCCGGGAAATCGCTTCATCGATGGAGCGCAGACATCGGTCGATGTCGTCGGTCGTTTCCGGGTGGATGTCATAGTCGATACTGGTGTCAACGCAGTGTTGAACTGCGACCAATCTACACGATGGTAGTTTCGTCACGATGTCTGGAACTTGTTGACTGATGAACCCACTTTAGCCACCACCGGAGAGTGGTGCGAGCTGAGTTTCTGATACACGACAGGTTGCAAGATATTGCCCATGTTGCTGATGTAGATATCGATGATGGCTTGAGCACCGGACCGGCAGTGTCCGGACTCAAGATGTTGTACTGCGCTTTCTGCAGCTCGTTGTTCAGGATGGTGCCGTTTTGATTGCGTCAGCTGTTGCCCCAGGTTTGATGTTTGGTGTTCAGGTCGCCAGCAATGGTATATTTTTTCCGCCGCCTAGTCAGCTTGATGATATCTCATCGAAGGTGCGCTGCCAACCCATCCCAGTTGTTGACTTGTCTGGGGCAGTAAGCCGCAATGATGGTGATGGGGCCAAGCGACTTCAACCCCAATGGCTTCGATAATTTTGAGTTGGAAGTTTGGCAGCAGGTGGCAGTTGATGTTACGCCTCACAGCAATGGCTACTCCCTCTCCTCTTGCACTGGTTCTGTCGATTTTCAAGAGCCGAAAGTCCGATAGGTAGATGTTGACTTCCGGCTTTAGATGGGTTTCGGTGATGATGGCTATGTTGATTTCCTTGGCGTTAAGGAAGTCAAGCAGTTCGATATGCTTGTTCTTCAGCGAACAAGCGTTCCAATTTGCAATCTTTATAACTTCACGGTCCACTGCGGAGTGTCACAAGTTCCTCCGAGATAAATGGGGAATCGTTGACTTTTTCACAGGTAGTATAAAACTGTTCGAAATTATGCACTGATGAAAATTAGGACATAATGGTCCAGCGGATCCGGAATAATTTCGGGTTCACGCGAGGGCGTATCAGACGTCTAGAACAAGGTGGTGCTGCTGCGCCACGGTGAGAGGGTAATGATTATAATATCAACAACAGCAACTTGCAACCTAGTTCTCAAAGCTGAGTGTCCAACGGATGGTTATCCACCTTTTTCTTTGTAACAGTAGGGAAGTCGAAACTGGTTCTACATGCCAAGATTCCCCAGGATGGTCCGGCGGTCATTCCAAAAAATCCGTAAAATTATTTTTCCTGCAGAGCGGCGCCGGTGGTGTAGTGGTAAGCGTGATTACCTCTCACCCCAGCAGGCCTGGGTTCATAGGTTCTGAGGCATAACATCTCTGATCACGCCTTCCTTGGGAAGGGAAGTAAAGCCGTTGGTCCCCGGTTCATGAGTTGAAGGGTCGATAGGTGGGATCCAGGTATGGGAGCTGCCTCCCTGCCGTCGCACAGTGGCACGAATATGAATAAAGACGGTCAAACATATTTTCTACCCTTTTTCGACGTTTTAGAGACTGGGTGTATTGGGAGAAGTTGCTCAAAATTATAGCTCGCATCTTTTGAAATACACACCTGAATAATCTTTAAGCTAGTATTACACATCCAAATTCTAACTTTTTCCAGTTACGAGATAATGGTTCCATGTCTTGGACAAAGTTGCAGAGCAGTTGATTTCATGAACATTTGCTAAAGACACCAAATTTCTACATCATAACTCTGTATAATGTAATCTTCGAAATTCAATCGGTTTTAAACCCTACCAGGGGCCGCCTACCATCTTTTCGGGCCGTTCAATATGGTGTCACAAAACCGTCCGATGGGCTGTATATAATATTGACATTTTCGAATCGAGATTTGGCTAGGTACCCCTCAGTACCCAACGCTGAAATTTTCAGAAGTAATATTTTATAAGGTAATCTTCAAAATACAACCAGTTTTAGACCCCGCCAGGGCCCGCCCTTTTCGAGCCGTTGAATATGAGGTCACTAAAACGCTTGATGGGCTGTATATCACATTGATGTCAATGAAAAGGATTGGTGTATTCAGCAAAGTTGTATATTTTAATGATGCCAACAATTTCTTAGAACATGATAAATTGATCAAATTTGAAAAAAAGCACTAATTAACTTAAAAAACCAATTTTAAGGTAGTCTTGAAAGAAAATCTATTATAGCTCTACAGAGTTATGATGTAGAAATTTGGTGTCTTAAGCAAATGTTCATGAAATCAACTGCTCTGCAACTTTGTCCAAGACATGGAACCATTATCTCGTAACTGGAAAAAGTTAGAATTTGGATGTGTAATACTAGCTTAAAGATTATTCAGGTGTGTATTTCAAAAGATGCGAGTTATAATTTTGAGCAACTTCTCCCAATACACCCAGTCTCTAAAACGTCGAAAAAGGGTAGAAAATATTTTTGACCGTCTTTATTCATATTCGTGCCACTGTGCGCCGTCGTTGATTACTTCTTTTGGAATCCCTTGGACTTTTTCTCTAACGCTTCGTATTTCATTCCGTGCTTCACCGGCAATTTCCTTCCGTAGATCGTCCTTGGTTGGTTCTAAAATGATTCCGCTTTTTTTGGTCGGCTTCATTGAATTGAATTGAATTGCCATGGTGATCTGGGACGAGGCTCACGTCCAAAGTCGCTGTTCCACCAAGCGCTCCGTGTGCGAAAAGAGAATGAAAGAAATACGAAGAGTTAAATTTTTGAAGTCACCCTAAAACTGAATCACCCTAATGACTGTTCCAATGAAAAGATGCGCTTTTTTATTTCCAACAACTCTATTCTAAACATCAAAACGCTAAAACCAGTAGATTTTGAGGAAAACCCAATTTCCATGTATTTTTCCGCTCTGGATCACTGTGCAATGTCATAAATTCTAATCAACATGCGGAACCATTGCAGGCAGCTCGTTGTTCTTGCGTGGTGCGCAGACCACCATGGCATTTCCTACTCGAATTAGGTTCAATTTGTTAAAAGCAGGTCTTTTTTGCTCAAACATGACTTCGCTTCTATTTCATGACCCTCCCCCCCATCACACGCAAACCTTCTGCTAATTTAATGCAGCACTATTACAGACATTCCTGAAACTCCACAAAAATTTCACGCTGGCATCTCTGCTGTGACCTAACCATGAGTTCAAAGTTCAGAAGATCCGTAAATGTGTTTCATTCTTGAAACATAGAGTTGTATTTTGGTTGGCCTTTACCACATTTACACTCAACATTACTTCAAAGGCTACTGGAACTATTCTGAAAACGGGAAGGCACTGCATGCCAAGAGTCTTATTCATGTGGTATAAATGTATGTGTTATGTTAATTTTTAATAGACAAATTGAACTGCAACTAGTACTGATAAACCAGAACATCCACTGATTTTCAATTATCAGTGCAATATGTGAGTACTCTTCGTTTTTGCACGAATGTGGAAAGTCCGCTACATTCGAATGCTAGACCATCAATTGAAACCTCTTATTCACAAAAAAAAAATGATTTACCTGGAAAACTTATTTGCCTTAAACACCAGCTATGCCTTTTGAGCGCTTTGAAGAACATATTAACCACCACCATCGTTAACTAAAAACACCCAGAAATCCTTACCTCGTATCGTCGAACATCGCATCGATCCTCAGTTTGCAGATCGAGTTCCGACTCACGCTGGACATGGTCTCCAGCTGATCGGCATCCAGCAGCCGGAAGCCGGACGAGACGCTGGACCCCCTCCGGGGCCGACTCATCCGCTGCGGGTGCACGTCCATGTTGTATGTCACCATAGTCGTTTCGCTTTTTCAAGAAATCTTTTGCTTCACTACACTTCACTTCACCTTAGCCATCGGAGAGGGTGCATTTTTCCACTTCGTTTGTGCACTGTCCTCTTTGGGTTTGGTTCAATTGACACCGCGAACTGATTTACATTTCGAGCTCCGTCACTTGTGAGCCCATCAATTTCATGCCTTCATGGTTACTCGGCAGGGTGAATCGGAAAATCATTGAATGCATTTTTTCACCTAATGCCACCATCCTCCGGTTGGTGGTCCATTTTTTCGTCACTCCAATTTTCCCTAATTATTTACACAAAAGTGTGATAACAACAGTGCGCGGTCGGTAATTGGGTCACGTTCACACTCTGCCAATCGACGGAAAATAAAATAACAAACAAACTAATTGAGGGGAGGGATTAGTTCCGAGTACTCTATCTTCTTCTTCTTCTGCGTTCGATGGAAATCTCAAATTAGTTCGTAATTTAACGGTTCACCGAGACGCAGCAGCTACTGTAGAGTCCAGCTCGATCGGATCTTGGGGTGCTCCCATTAGATTTTAATTCAATTTTCTTCCGTCGCACATCTGGCGTCTTGTGGGGTGCGGAAAAATCGAAACCAATTTTCCCCCTACTCAGTTCACTGCTGATGATGGCGCTGCGCTGGTGATGCCAATCATTATGTTCGCGCGTTTGCTGGAACAGCAATCAATCGAATGGCAGTCAGGTAGTAGCGCGATCGCGAACTGCAAAAGAGCACAGTGCAGTGGGTCGTCGGTTTTGGGTGAACTATTTCAAGTTCAATGGTAGCATTGTACTGTGGAAGAAAATGAGAAGATGGAGAATGTGATAATTTCGGTTGTTTTGGATCATTGGTAATGAAGCTGAGGTAATGGATATGGATTGAATGTTTTTTTTTCGTTTTGTTTTTCACATGGTGGTGCGGCGAATTACTATGAATTAATATTTATTTTAAATGGTCAAGTTACTCATAGAGGAGTCATGCGTCGAGTAATATTCCAATAACACGAATTATGAATTCATATAAATGAGTTTTAACTCAAGAATGGGAAGAAAAGAGATTACCAATCCAAAAATAAGCAATTCTGCGGGATATCTAACCCGCTTCCCAAGAATTCGATACTTTAGCAAACCAATCTGAAATTATTTTTCGGGATGTGTCAGGAAAGAATCATTCGTACGTTTTATGTAATGAAACAGGTTCCACCTGTTATTTTAAATGTTTGAATTTTTCTTAAAATTTTGCAACGGTGTTGAGCTTTGCAATTCTGAAATTGATTGATTCTTTCTAACATTTCAACAAAGCATTGTTAAAGTCACGCGATAGTGACACAAATATTTTTGACATCGTTGCTGGAAAAATTGCAAGCGCATTAACCACCGTCAATAACGCATTCGATTTTTCTTAAATAACTAGATTCATCACATCATAGAATGTGTTACTGCATGCGTTTCAATTAAACTCTACACTGAGAATTCATAAGGGAATAAGTAGCAAACGTAAACAATGGCTTCTTCCGCAAATTTTTCGAGAGTATAAACTCGCCCAAGCAAACAACTTCGATTACTATAAGGAAGGACTGTATGTGCTGCGTTCTATCGATACAACTTCCCTATTTTTTTTCACCTATACAAGCCTGATGCACAGCTGAAAAGTGTTGACATTTTAACGTGCTACAGAATAGGACACGGAATGCTAAAGACATTACTTTTCCTTGGCATTTCTTGACCCAGTAGGGTTAACTACCCCATTTCCGGCCTATTAAGCACAACCTGTACTTAGTATTTCTTAATTAAGCGTAGTTTAGCACCAAACGGAATGTTATTATTATTGATGGCTTCTAAATTTATTTACATTTCCGTACGTACCGTAAGATTTGATAAAGAGAAACAAATTGTTGAGATATTGTTAAAAGCCTAACACTGCTTCTTGACGCCAAACTCGGCCTACGTGTGTGTGTGTGTGTGTGTCATCCTCTATCCCTCACCCAGCCGGGGGCGTTGGACAAGTAGAACTGCGAATAATTTGATCAAATCTCATGCTCCGTAATGGTGCCCTTTATGTTGTGAAGACTAGTACTTCAAAAAGGGTAACTTTTGAGGCAAGACAGGGTGTCCTCAACAAGTTAAGGGAACAGGATGCACTAGATGTCCACAACAGGTACAGCAAAACATCACATAGACGCCCTTATTCACACTAACTACTCAGGGGGTAGAAGGTCAAGAAGAGCCACCGCCGCCAACTAAAGCTTGAACCGGGTACCTGGGACTCCCACGATATACCCGCGGCAATGGTCAGCAGACGATGCCCTGTGCGTATTTAGTATGTAATATGTTTTATTTGGATACACAAAATGTTTGAAGCCATGCGTCATCTAAACCATAATTTGCATCACCACAAATACACTTGTCAACAATCTTCAACTGGAACGTACTCACCAAATCACTTCACCCGGGAGCGCATTCCCGATGCTTCCACGCATTCTTTTTTTCTCCACTCCAACCACACAACAACCAAATATCACTTTTCTTCACTTTTCTTTTTCAAGTCACTCCGTGCACAAAAGCAATGCACATCTCAAAACCCTTCCAATAGATCAGCGCACTTCTCATCACCGCGTAAATAAACAGAAATTAAAATTTTCACTCGCGATGCCACAAATTTCTGGTCCGGGAGAAACAATCAAACCACGCCAATTTTGCAAACATGATGAATCATGTTTTCTTTCTCGATTCTAAAACTTCTCGGAAAGCGAGAAACCAACACTCACACACGTATAACCGTCCGGGAGGCAGAGTGCCAGCGCTAATCCGGCAAATGCAGCCGAAAACTATGAAAGCGAATGCACGCACAAAACAGAGAACGAACTTAACACACAACCGTATCCAAAGGCGTTAGAAACTCGACTCTCTTGACGCCAAACTCGGCCTACGGATTCTAAACTCGGCCTAACGCATTGAAATGCCATTTAAACGGCAATGAATTCACTTCGGCCTATCGGATGAAGATAAAGATTGTTTCGGTCGGAGCACTTTGTTTGTTTTTTGAGAATATTGCGTGCAAACATTCATATCAAGCGTTCTTATTGATTTCGTTCGGTAGCATTTGAACTAAAGTATCGTACCATATGTTCGAATCACTCAGTTTTACAAACTCGTTTCTGTGCTCAATCTTTATTCACCACAACACAGTAGCACAACGGGGACATATGCACTATGGCAGGTAAGTTTCTTGAGGTTTTTGTTCTCTTTTTAGCCTTCGCGGGGGCTCACAGCACAAGTAAGTATCTTACGATAATCTTAGTTCATTTATTGATCACTTCACTAACTTCAACTATAACTACTAAACTTGATGACAATGATGATGATGGGCGTCGTGTTGTCACTTTTACTGATGATCGAAACAATCTTGGTTCGGCTTTTATAACAGGTCGTCTTCTGTTTGGTTCGCCGGAAGAGTTGAATCGCAAAATCCCGAAGGGAGCCATTGTCGATGAACGAGATGGTTGGTGCTAACATGCCGCAAATATTCACACCTAGGTGACGTGACGATGCTATTTTCGTGATGCGAACATCCTGGCCCCTTCAGAAATCACATTTCTGATAGTCGAATACTCGGTCGAATCGATTTGCTCACGTTCGTATTGTGGTTCCCATTGAAGATGTGTGGCAGCTGTCATCGGTCGGCTCTTCTCGTCTTGATCATTCTCGGAGATGACGACAATGACATCGATGATCATCAGCAGGAGTAGAATGTAAACATGCAAAGGAAGACCCGGTAGAGGGTTTCGTAAATTTTATAAATTTGGACAGGTTCTTACCTTGTCCCTTAATTCAAAGGGCCTTGTATTTCATTTTAGGTGATCCGGACGGCTACTATCAACAGGAACGAGGAATGGGCCAGCATATTGTTGCAAACGATGAAGTTTAAAGACTCAAAGTTGGATAGTTGATGTTGCACTTGGACGACGAGTTCATTGTTGTGTTGATTTGGTCGCTGCTTTTGCTGGTGGATCGATGGTTATATCTTCTGTAGGTGGAATTGGCAGGATGCAAATTTTTGCTACGGGACGAGTAAAGCGACCGGTTGGTGTCTGAACGGTCACTACCCGTGTGATGCCATCAGAACCCGGATGAACGTCGACGATTCTGCCCATCGGCCACGACATTGGAGCCGAATTTTCATCCTTGAGGAGAACCAGTTGATTTTGCTTGATGGTGATCGGTGGACTGCACCATTTCGAACGGGATTGAAGTGTAGCCAAATATTCGGATTGCCATCGTTTCCAAACCAGTTGAAAAATCTTCTGTGTTTGCTCCCACTGTCGCAGACGGTTTAGCGGAACTTCGGTGACGTCGGTGTCAGGAATAGCCTTGAGCGCTGATCCAACGAGGAAATGACCAGGCGTCAGTGGCTCGAAATCGGACGGATCTTCGCTGAGTGGAACGATGGGACGAGAATTCAGGCAAGATTCGATTTGAACTAATAGCGTCTCCATTTCATCATGTGCCAGAGTTCGAGTGCCGAGTACACGGATAAAATGCTTCTGTGCAGAACGAATCGCAGCTTCCCAAAGTCCACCGAAATGTGAAGCCTTTGGTGGATTAAAATGCCAACGGATTCCTGTACTGGTGCATTCTTGTGCGACGGCCTGACGATACTCCTTACTGCGGACCAATTTTCGCAGCTCGTTGGCAGCTCCGACAAAGTTGCGACCGTTGTCACTGTAGATATCGCTGCACAGACCTCGGCGAGATACGAAGCGACGTAGTGCTTGAAGAAATTTAGCCGTACTCAAGTCGACGACCAGCTCAATATGTACGGAGCGTGTTGAAAAGCAAACGAACACTGCCACGTAGGCCTTTTGGGGTGCTGCCCGACGGTGTATGGGTTGCAGCGAGATGGGTCCCCAATAATCAATACCGGTCACGGAGAACGGTCGAGATGCTGTGACGCGTGGCGACGGTAGTTCAGCCATGAACTGTTCCAGAAGTTGCGGACGTGCCCTAGAGCAAGTGACACAGTTGCGGTAAATGAATCTGGCAAGACTTCTGGCCCCTATGATCCAGTACCGCAGACGCAAAATGGCAATGATGAGTTGTGGAGCAGCGTGTAGGTGTTTTTCGTGGCATGAACGAACCAATAGCTTTGAGAGAGGGTGAGAAGCTGGAATGATGATCTGGTGCTTGCTATCGTAAGGCTGTGGCGCTTGCACAAGACGGCCACCAATGCGAATAAGCCGATCGTCCGACACAAACGGATGAAACCAGCGCAAGCGGGACTTCACTGAAACGTGCATGAATTTCTCGAGATCTTTCCACTCCTCAATGAAGGTTTGTTGCTGAACCAATCGAATAAGAGTGGCCTCTGCTGCTTTTTTCTCATCCGATGTGACGTAAGTTGAATGGTTGCTTGCTGCGTTTTGACGACAATTGTGGATGAATCGACGACAGTAAGCGGTTACTCTGAGCAAACGGTCGTAGTCGGAGAACTTTGTTGAGAGTTGATCGACGAATGTTGGTTCAGAGGATGCTGTGCATACAGTTTTCCGCTGTTTACCTGCTTCTGCTAGTGCTTCGGTGTTGGGTGCGATTTCATGCTGCTTGATCGGCCAAGACGTTTGAGCGAGTTGCAGCCATTTCGGCCCGTGCCACCAGAGTTGATTGTCCAAAATATCTTCTGCTGCAATTCCTCGTGATAGGAGATCTGCGGGATTCTCTTGCCCAGCGACGTGATGCCAGGAACAATTTTGCGTAGCTTGCTGAATTTTAGACACGCGATTCGCGACGAAGGTGGTCCATGTTGACGGCGTAGCATTCAGCCAGCTGAGAACCGTCGTCGAATCAACCCAGAAGAATGTTGCACCGGGTAGTTCGAGTGATTTCATGACCTTTTGATAGAGCTGGGCTGCAAGAAGTGCCCCACATAGTTCTAACCGAGGAATGCTTTGCTGCTGGAGTGGTGCTACTTTAGACTTGGCTGTGAGAAGGGCTACCTTGAACGATCCAGAATTGTCTGCCGATCGGATGTAGCAGCATGTGCCGTATGCGTGCTGAGAAGCGTCCGAGAAGAAATGGTATTGAACGAATGCTGGTTTTGCTGAGAGGATATAGCGCGTGATCCGTAGGTCATTGAGAAGCGGTAATTGCGATGTATAATTATGCCAACGTTCCTTCATTGGCATTGGAAGCTCTTCGTCCCAGCTCCAGCTTCTTCCGCTGTCATCCTTCAACGTCCAGAGGGCTTGCATAAAAATTTTAGCGGATATAACGACTGGACCTAGTAAACCGAGGGGATCAAAGAGGCGAGCGATTTGTGATAATGCTTTTCGCTTAGTTAGTGAAGCATCAAATGTGTCAGCTGGCAGTTCAATACGGTACTTCAGCTGATCTGACGCAGGTTCCCAATGAAGACCTAACGACTTGATGGATTGGTTATGATCCAGTTCAATGGAGGTCTTTAGTGCTCGATTTTCTGGAGCGATACCTTCCAGAACAGCTTCTTCGTTAGATGCCCACTTTCGAAGTTCAAACCCGCCTTTGGCCAGGAGTGCTTCTAGCTGCTGACGGAGCTTAGTTGCTTCTTCGACGTTGCTTGCGCCCGAGTAAAGATCGTCCACGTAGAAGTCCTTACGTAAGACTTCGGCTGCCTCTGGAAAACTGTCCTGTTCGTCATCTGCAAGTTGCAGGAGGACACGAGTAGCGAGAAAGGGTGCGCTTGCAGTGCCATAAGTTACAGTTAGCAGCTCATAAGTACCCAGAGGTAGCTCCGATGATGTCGTCCAAACAATTCGTAGAAGCGGAGTGTCACGTTCGTCTACGAGTACTTGTCGGTACATCTGCTTGGCGTCAGCGATGACCATTATTCGACGGATCCGGGAGCGCATGATGATTGACCGAATCTCTTGCTGCACGGTTGGGCCTACCATAAGTGCGTCGTTGAGCGATGGTCCCTCCGGAGTCTTGCATGATGCGTCGAAGACCACTCGCAGTTTCGTAGTAGTGCTCTCTTCTCTAACTACAGCGTGGTGAGGCATATGATAGCATGGAGATGGAGGCGACTGGTAGTCAAACACCTGCTTCATGTGGCCCAAAGCAAGGTATTCGTCCATGAAGTCACGGTATTGCTGTGCTATGCCTGGGTTACGAACAAGTCGACCTTCCAGCATTCGAAAACGACGGACGGCAGTAGAACGGTTGTCGCCAAGTTGTTCGATGACGTTTTCCTTCACGGGTAAGCGAACAATGTACCTTCCCTCAGAGTTGCGCTTCACGGTGTGTCGAAAGTGTTCTTCGCAAGCGGCTTCTTCGACGGAATGGTTTGGAGTGCTTTCGTCTTCTTCGATTGACCAAAACTTTTCGATGAGCTTATGTAAATCGGTGATCGTTGCAACATTGGCGATGATTGGAGACCTCGAAGTGCCGTGCGAAGTCTTTCCAGACACTATCCAGCCAAGGACTGAGTTGACCAAGGTCGGAAGGGATTCGCCAAGCTGAATGCGACCTGAAACTTTAAAGAGCTCAAAGAATACTTCTGCGCCAATGATAATATCCACTGGATTTAATTCGTAGAACAATGGGTCGGCTAGCTGAACACCGGGAGGAATGGTCCAAGAAGAAGTGTCTACTTGAACAGAGGGCAAATCGATGGTGACTTTGGGCAGAACAAGGAACTCAGCAGAGGTGGAGTAGTCACAAACCCTTGATTGAATCGAAGCGACGATCTTGTACCGTGCGTACGTTGATGATTGCCCAATGCCACTGATCGGAACGGATATTTTTGTGCGCTGAGATTTGATGACTTGCGAGAGTGATTCGGTAATGAAGCAACATTCACTACCGGAATCGAGAAGCGCTCTGGCAACATGTTCAGTGCCGTTGTCGTCCACTAATTTAACGACTGCGGTAGCCAAAAGCACGCCCTTTCGTGCTTGACCGGTGCTTGCATGGCTTGAAGGTGCGGTGACGGTAGCGGATACAGATGCTTTCGGCTGTTCGAGTTTCGCAGAGGATGCTGTAGCTGTTGATTGAGGACTTGGTTGCCTGGAGCTTACAGAGGCAGAATTCATCCCGGAGCAGAGCTGTGTGTGGTGACGACCTCGACACTTTCGGCAGGAACTGGATGACGAACAGTCTCGAGCTTGGTGACCCGTGCGCAGGCAGTTGCGGCATAGTTGATGGCGGCGAACTTCCTTTTCCTTCGCTTCGACGTCGAGTTTTGAGAACAGCTGGCACATATAGAGTGGGTGATGATCAGAACACACGACGCATTTCCGACCAGCTTGAACTTGACTGGCCCCATGACTAGCAACGACACGTTGACTGGATCTTTTCATCTGTTGAGTGGATGCTGGAGTATCGACAGCTTTTCCCTGGATCGTTTGCAGAACAGTCACTCTTCGCTGGATAAAGGAGGTCAGATCCTTGAACGTCACGTCTGGTTTAGTTGAAGATAATTCCTCCCAGTCCCTTCGAGTTGTGGGATCTAGGCGGACGCTGAGCATACGGATCAGAATGGAGTCCCAAAACTCGGTTCTCTCACCGAGCTGCTTCAACACCTTCACATTGGCTTCGAAGTTCTCTACCAGCAGATGTAAATCGGCCGCAGATTCGCGTTTCAGGGTACCGACTTCGAAAAGAGCGTCGAGGTACGATTGTTTCAGACGCGAAGGGTTTTGATAATGCTCAACCAGCAGATTCCAGGCCACGTGGTAGTTATTGGCACTGATGGTAATCGTTTGAACCAGTTTTAAGGCCTCTCCAGCCAGAGAGGAACGAAGGTAGTAAAACTTCTGGATGTTAGATAATTCGACAGAAGAGTGAACCAGAGAGACATACAGATCATGGAAATTCAACCAGGTGTCGATGTTTCCACTAAACGTAGGAAGTTTTATGTCGGGTAAGCGTACATGCGACGATGAACCATGGACTTGTGAGCTTGAAGAAGAAGACGTAGTCATGGACGTCGATAGCGGAGATTTATTTTTGGATAGCAGAAGACCTTTCACCCGGTAGTAGGCAGTTTCAAAGTCGACCCGTTCTTTAAGCTGCTCGTCGATCGTCTCATCGACGGATTCAAGCTCTGATTGAGTGCTCTGAAAGTCGGTCCACACCTTGTCGAGGTTCTCAAGGCGTACCGGTATCTCGAAGACATCCCTTTCTTCCTGGTAATTGTTAACGAAAGTCTTGATCAGGTTGAATGAGACGGTTAGGCTCTTCAGCTTGGTCTTCAATCCCTTGATGCGACGTTCCGTTGACATGATGAACGGCGACAGTGGTCTGCAAAGCGAAAGACCGCGCAGATCACACGAGAAAGAGTAGAGGAAATAGGAAATCTAATTACCTTTGAAAAGGCAAAATGTGCCTTGTATAGCTATTCAATTAGCGAAAGTGATGGCGGATTCCAAAGCTACTTCGCGATTGTTCCACAGACTATGATGGCGGACCGTGCGCTAGGTGGCTTGTAGTAGCGATGGCGGTTGTCTCACAATGGACAGTTACCGGAACGGACGGAGTTCGACGGTCGTAATCCGGTGCGAAGGACCATATTAACGCCGAAATCATGGATTTATTTGATGTTTTCTGCTTGATAGGCCCAAAATGGGCGCTTAGGCCGAAGTAGTTCTACAGCCTACGCAGTTCAAAAGAAATCGATAAAAGAAAGATCGATTACATTAGTCTTAAAGCCTGGTACGCAGTTGAAAAGAAAACGGAAAAGTAATTTTTGACTCTGTCTTTTGTTAAATTTTGAGATCATAGCGATGTGTCGTCAAATTTCAAAATCAATAATTAGTTTTGATGTTGTTTTATATATTATGTTTTGGATGCATTTTAATGCATCCAAACCATAATTTTTACAACAAGCGTTAAAATTACCTTACGGAATAATTGATCACACCATTATTCCGCAAGGAAAGTGAAATTTCATCCAGAGTGCGCTGCCTTCATGTCGATCACGATACTGATGTAATCGATATTTCCTTTTACCGATTTCTTTTGAACTGCGTACTGGGTCAAAGAATGCTAAAGGAATGTAATTTCCTTAGCATTCCGCTACGGGATAGGACGTAAAAACGTTGATAATTTTTAGTTCCGTACCAGGCTTAAGCCATCAAGCAGAATACCGTTCTGTTTTTGATAGTTCCTCCTTATTCAAATATAACTACTGAGTCAATTTAAACTTGGCTTTGTGTGTGCCTAAAAAACCAATCATCACGTATGAATTTAGCGAAGTCCATTCTATAAAATCCAAGCATAACTTTCAAATGATATAAAGAGAGAGAGAGAAGCATTTAATTACACTACCTAATATGCTTATCCTTGACAGATGCGCGTATTTTGTCTACAATGTGCAGACATCTTCAGTACTAATACTCGACTGAAGAAAAACATAGCATTTTACCAAAGATATATAAACACAGGTACATTTTCACTTAAAAGGTAGGTAAAATTAAATTAAATTCCTGTAGGAGCAGGTACCCCGCTGCTTACTCGTTGATGTGTCCTGGTTATTTTTACTGGAGAAAACTAAATCTAATCCGAATTGTTTTAACTGTGGTCTTTGCTTGCAAGTAATATATTGATCAAATGGAACGGACACTCGTTTGAAGGTTCAGGTGCTGCGGTGAGGGTTGTAAATAATCTCCTTTGTAGATTTCTTGCTTTTTTTTATCAATGATTGCCTGGATTGTGGTCTCCTTGTATCCGTTGAGTCACGCTGTTTCGAGGATGTACTGTAATTCCTTAACCTTTCCTGTATCGCTGAGTGGAAGAGGCTGCATCCGATGAATCATGTGATGGGAGGCGGCCATTTTCTGCTGGAACGAATGCACAGTGCACAGTGGTCCAGAATGCAGATTTAGGTGGAATGATATGTTTTGAGCCTGAAATTGAAACTTTAGACTAAAAGTCTTTTGTACAAAGTTGTTTCTTACAGTTATGACAATGAATTCTAGGGTGGTTCCTATTAACATTAAAATCAAAAATCTAGCTTTTTGATTGTATAAATTAAGGTATGCATTCTTGGGCAAAGTTATAGCTGAGCTAATTTCAAGCAACTTTGTTGAAAACAACTTTTTTGTATCTCTCAAATTGGCCGATGTAGAGCTGTTTTCTTGAGGGTGGATCTAAAAAAACAGTTGTTTTACTCTAGTATTCTTATTTCAATTTTTTTTTAGCAAAGACGTCTTGAAATGACTTTTATATCTTAAGAAGGCGCAAATTTTTGTTCCACAAAGCTTGTCAATATCTTTCGCCGATCAAGAGTTATTGACGTTTTTATACTAAAAATATGCACTTTTCAAATGTTAATATCTCTGGTTGGGGAAAACAAAAAAAAGTTTTTTACGGCATTTGAAAGGGCGTATGTTATTCTCAATAACATGAAAAATTTGAGGTACATTATTTTTTAAACTCGTATAAAATCAATTTGAATTTATTCACATATTTTACTATATTTGGGTATATCTTTTTTATTAGAAGAGATACAGACAACAAATTTCGCTATAAAACATCGTCTTAAAGAGTTTTAAAAGTCTCTACAAGATGACTTCCATGAGAAATTTCAAATAAAAAAGTTATTGGCAAAAGATGGATTTCATAGGACCACTCTAATGATACATTTAAATAAAATGTGCTAGTACATTTGTTTGTCTCTTAAAGTTCTCATTTTAGAGTAATTTTTCGGAGTTGACTTAGGGTGTTCCTGGAAAAAAATAGTTTTTTAGCACTAACTTTTTTATTTGAAATTTCTCATCAAAGTCCATCTTGCAGAAACTTTTAAAACTCTTTAAGACTTTGTTGCCTGTATATCTTCAAATAAAAAAGATATATCGAAATTTAGTAAAAAAGATGAATAAATTCAAATTGATTTCATACGAGTTTAAAAAATAACATACCTTAACTTTTTTCATATTATTGAGAATAACATACGCCCTTTCAAATGCCGTTAAAAACTTTTTTTTTTGTTTTCCCCATCCAGAGATATTAACATTTTAAAAGTGCATATTTTTAGTATAAAAACGTCAATAACTCTTGATCGGCGAAAGATATTGACAAGCTTTGTGCAGCAAAAATTTGTGCCTTCTTAAGATCTAAAAGTTATTTGAAGACATCTTTGCTAAAAATTCGAAATCAGAAATCTAGAGCAAAACAACTGTTTTTTTAGATCCATCCTAACTCAATTCAAGAAAATAGCTCTAAATCGGCCAATTTAAGAGATACAAAAAAGTTGTTTTCGGCAAAGTTACTTGAAATTAGCTCAGCTATAATTTTGCCGAAAAAAATGTATAACTTAATTTATTCAATCAAAAAAGTCAGATTTTGATTTTAATGATAATAGGAACCACCCTAGAATTCATTGTCATAAAAAATGAGGGCCTAACTGTAAGGAACAACTTTGTAGAAGAGACTTTTCATTCCACCTAAATCTGCATTCTGGACCACTGTGCAGTGGTCCAGGATTGGAATTTAGCAAGACAAAAGTTCATAGTACGTTTGGCGTTTGGTGTCTTGAGTGAAGTTTTTTTCTTTCTTAAAATTATCCTTCTTTTTGTGCCTTCAAACATTAGAGTGATGCTTTAATTTCTTAAAATCCAAAAACTAACTTTCTTATTTAAAAAAATAAAGACACACGTTGTTAAAAGAAGAATTTGTTGATGAATTTATTTCAAGCAACTTTGTTGAAAAAAGTTTTTTTTTTGTACCTCTTACCGTTTTCATTTTAGAGATTTTTTTCTGAACTGCGTTAGGGTGCACCCAACAAAATCAGTTTTTCAGCTCTAACTTTTTAATTTCAAATTTTTCGTAAAAACTGTTTGGAAAGAACTTTTAGAAACCGTCAAAATACACAACTTTGCTCAAGAAATAAAATGTGTATCTCTCGACTATCAAAAGATATTGAAGATTTTCTATACATAATAGGCCCTTTTCAAATGTCAACCACTCAAAATGGGGCAAACGTACAGACATTTTTTAGCCATTTTTTGAAAGGGCATTCTTTAGTGTATATTATATGGGAAAACTGGAGGTAATGTTTTTCTTCATCTTAAGTTAAACTTATTTAAGTTCACTCAATTTTGCAATTAAATTTGGTAATAACTCCTTCTAAAATAGAGGAAGAAACGATATTTTAAAAGAAAAACGTGTGTCTTGCTAAACTACAAAAGTCTTTCTAATACCCTTTTATGTAAAATTTTAAATTTAAAGCTTCACCAAATCAATATACTTTAGAATTACCAGGTAATGTGAAATATCTGCTGGCAGATTAGATTAGTATTATTTTTAATTTTAATTAAATAAATTGATTAATTAATAAGAAATAAGAACACCTAGATAAGAAACATAAAAATAACAAACATAAACTTGAACGAATGCTGAAAACGACGTACTCAAATGATGGGCTCCTTTCAAACCTACTTGACAACTTTCTATATTACAAGAAGCTAACATTTTTTTTTGGGCAGTCATTTCATAACCTTTAATTGACTGTTTCCTGTTAATTTACAATTTTACATAAACAGGCATTAGAAAGACTTTTGTAGTTTAGCAAGACACACGGTTTTCTTTTAAAATATCGTTTCTTCCTCTATTTTAGAAGGAGTTATTACCAAATTTAATTGCAAAAGTGAGTGAACTTAAATAAGTTTAACTTAAGATGAAGAAAAACATTACCTCCAGTTTTCCCATATAATATACACTAAAGTATGCCCTTTCAAAAAATGGCTAAAAAATGTCTGTACGTTTGCCCCATTTTGAGTGGTTGACATTTGAAAAGGGCCTATTTTGTATAGAAAATATTCAATATCTTTTGATACGTTTTACGAAAAATTTGAAATTAAAAAGTTAGAGCTGAAAAACTGATTTTTTGGGTGCACCCTAACGCAGTTCAGAAAAAATCCCTAAAATGAAAACGGTAAGAGATACAAAAAAAAAACTTGTTCAACAAAGTTGCTTGAAATTATTTCATCAACAACTTCTTTGAACAATGTGTGTCAATTTATAAATAAAAAAGTTAGATTAGGATCACTCTAATGTTTGAAGGCACCAAAAGAAGGATAATTTTAAGAAGAAAAACTTCACTGAAGACACCAAACGCCTAAATCCTTAAACAAAAGTATTATGGACTTTTGTCTTGCTAAATTCCAATCCTGGACCACTGTGGAATGGTTGGAAGTATAGGGGATAACTCTTTTGGTGCTTGTTGGTTTCCTGTAAATTTCGTATTCAAGCAAAGATGATGATGACGATTCCCTGAGGACTAGAATATCGAGAAATGCGAGTTTCCCGTCTTTTTCTACCTTTTGAGTGAATTTGATTGTGATTTCCTTGTGAATTCTGTTGATCTCATCTAAAATTTGTGGAAGGGCTTCCCGTTTAAAGCCTGGTACGGAATATTCCCAAAAGTTAATTTGACAGCCATAGGGAGGTGTCTTTTGCTAAATTTTGAGATCATAGGGGGTGTTGTATACTTTTGAAATCAACTATTATCAGTTTTTATGATGTTAATATGCAACCAAAACATCAGTTTAACAACATACGTTAAAATTA